GGGTGTTAGAAATAATGTTCAGTCCTGTGCAAATCACTGTTTACTGCCATTATCATTGCGAGAACTAATACACCGAGCAGTATCAATTTACCTCAAAGCAAATCCTATTTTATGAAATGAAGGTTGAACTGAACGTTAAATGCTGAAGCTTGTTTTTTTTTTTATGTGAATGGATGAGGAACAACAAAAGAAGAGGACTATGTTGTTCAACATGGAAAATTACTCATTTTTCAGGAAAAGGTATCCAGGCATCGCCTCAAAGGCTGAGCGTGGCCTCCTGCTGCTGGTGCACAGAAACAAGCAAGGACGCACACACACACACACACACACACTCCTTTCCAGCCTTTTAACATACTTATTCTGCTCGGGGAATCGAGCCACGGGCCGCTAGCCGCTGTGAAGCCTGAATACCACCGGGGGGAGCTGTGACCCTCCAAAGAATGTTCAGAGTTCCCCCAACAGAGCAGCGAGTGGCACACGGCCCGCTCCACCCACAGCGGAGACGCCTAGCAGCTCCACCAACCCGTCTGAGAACAAAAGCCCCCCCCCTCGCCCCCCGAGGCACGACGTCTTTGGACACAATAGACTAAAAAGCTTCACCAAACGATGCAAAAACAAAAAGGTTTTGTTGGATATAAAATGTTTAGAATCGTCAGCTTTTCGGCAGTTCACCTGCCGACCGGTGTGAATAAATGATGAGCTGCAAAACTATTGCTTTTGTTATCAAACTCATCTTATTTTTTGGAAGAAACCATCTTCTGGGGAAAATTCCTCACCGGCAAAAGAAAATCTGTTTCAGTCTCACGGAGTCTGCAAACATGTCCGTCACTTCGGGAGAGGAAAAGGAGGAAAGGAGCCTCGTGGACTTCCAACACTCGCTATCAGCAGCTACAGAACCCCGAAAATAGCCACGACGACTTGAGCAGAACACGCCGTTCAGCACAGGGACATTAGGACAGTACGCCTGTTTATTAAGAAGTGTGTGAGCATGTAGCGCATCGGCCTGTGCGCCTGTTTAATAGGAGGTGTGGGAGCATGTAGCATATCGGCCTGTGCGTGTGAGTACGTGCAGAGCGCATTTGCACCAGTGAGTAATGCACTCAGTGCTCCGGCTCCCTGGTGCCCCCTTCGTTTGAGACCAGCACTGTCTTTATTATTAATGTGTGCTTGCTTGCAGCTCCTGAATATTCTGGTGAGTCTGCCTTCGGTCTGTGCTGCTGCAGACGCATCTTAAAAGGCAGGTGCGCCCATAAGACGCTGCGATGCTGAGAGCTCACCGGTGTAGATGCTGGCGCTGGAGGCCGGGATGCCGAACTGGGACTCGATGAACTTGGGGATGAAGGTGATGAAAGCCGTGACGATGGCGCTCTCCGCCGTGTAGGACAGGCTGACGAACAGGAAGGTCACGTTGCTGAGGATCCTCACCGCGGCTTTGGGCATGTCTGAAGGAGCAGGAGATTATTTTTACTTTTTTAATGACTCTACAGAGGCCTCAGTGCGCACTTGGTCATTAAAGGTACGCTGTGTGGAAAGTAATAGAGGAACAACAAAAATATCACATCGCACGGCAAACGCCACATTAATGGCAAAAAATAAACTTTCTTTTCATTGGTCTGAAGTTGTCATCATGAAACAGAAACACATCCGTCTACATGGTCCACAAACTCTTGTGTAGAAACGAAGGAGATAACAACGTTTTAGAGGCTGTAAAAGTACCTTTGATGTCCTTCCCGAAACCCATGGAGGAGGTGACCGCCTGGCTCTTCCCGTTGCTGCTCTTCTCCTTCAGGACGTCGTCATCGGCGGACATGTCGTCCAGGTTCACCTTTTTTCTCCTCTTCTTCTTCTTGTGTCGGGGCGGCAGCTTCTTGGGGAAGGTGAACATGGGGAAGATGACCAGCAGCATGGCCACGGCGCACAGCAGGAAGCCGCTCCACCTTTCCGTTTGACATTTAAATACGGGAGCACAAAACGAGAGGCGGGACACGTCATTCTCTCACTGGGCCTCATTGAATGAAAAAAAAAAAAAAAGACGCGCCATTCTCACCAGTTTCCGATGAAGCGGGGGTCGCTCTGATCGATGGTGACGGCAGTCTTGGGGTCCACGTAAAAGCCGATTAGGACTCCTCCCAGCAGGTAACCTGCTGCTGGACCCAGTGCTCCCATCACATACATGATGGCTGAGGAGAGGCGGGGAAAAGAGGCTGTGATTTAGATGAAACCTTCTCCCACAACCTGCAGACCCTGAGCGGGATCACCATCCCTCCGCAGTCCTTTTTAATTTTTTTAAAGTGTCGGTTTGATCTCGAGACAAAACCTCCGTTTTTTACTTTCTAATGGCTTAATTATTTTCCATTGCTGAGTGTGAAACATCACCAAAGCTGTGAGCCAAATGAGGCTGTGAAGCTCCAGCGGGCTGCAGAGTCTGTGACGTTTTTACTGTGACCTGGACGATAAGGGACCGTCGCACATGACAGTGAGAGTTAATGATTTAAAAAAAAAAAAAAAGATAATTGTTGTAGTTTTAATGAGCTCCGAGCTGCAACGGAAAAGTCAATTATCAGCATTTTTCCACTTGAATCCAACACTGGGACGTCCTCCCATTTTCTCATAGACTTCTATGGGACCAGAGGAGTTTCCCCCTGCTGGTCACTACAGAGAATGCAGGTTTTCCTCATTGGCTTTAGTCAGCTGAATTGGAGGTTTCCGCCTGCACTATTTGCGTCTTGTGACAACATTTTACCAACATTTGTCAGCGAGGAGCGACTGCACGTCAATTTACTCAAACTCAACGCCTAATTTTAACCCTTATGCAACGCTTCAAATCAAACTAATCTGGCTTTACGAGCGCGTTACAAAAGGCCATGTGTGCTGGGGGTCATGTGTGCAGATCATATGACCGTGTAATAAGGGGCCCCGTTTAAGGCTGAGAATAAGATTTCTCCAATTAGAGGGAATTAACGTCTTAAAGTCCTTGGCTGGAGTTGAAAGCAAGCGCACAAAAAAAAGAAAAGGTCTGGTGACGTGACTTAAAACCCCACAGGCGGACCAGACACTGCACCAAGCTGTGGGAGTCGAGGAGACGCACTGGGAGCTCCGGGTTCATGTCAGCAGTGGCTTCAACCGCGCCTCGTTCACAAATCAATGATGTCGTGCTTTTCAAAATAAAACGGCGAGTTGTGAGTGACGCCTTCTTACGGTCGGAATCACAGTTTCAGCTCGGCAAGTTTTGCAAGTTTACAAACTACCAAAGACGGAGAGAGCGACCGAAACAAATCCTTTTGTCATCCCCTCTTTAATGGTCTATTGGAGACCTGTCAATCAGCGTGTAGCCCCGCCCTGATACATCCCCTTCTTTATCTGAACGTCTTTGGGTTTTAGAACCAGATAATAAAATAATCACTTGCAGCTGAAAGTTAGTCATTGATTCTATAAGCAGCGCCTGTTTTAACATGTTTAACATGTAACTCATTATGGTGCAGCACCAACACAAAGATTTGCTTGATGATGGCCTGCTGTCTCACTTCACATTGCTTAATGCTGCCTACCAGTCGCTGACTGGTTGACCGAGGTAGGCAGCATTGAGCCGGAAACACGGCGACGGAGAGCGCTGGCAGCGTGAAGGCGGTTGAGATCGATCTCAAAAAGACGTGCATTTCCATCACTGACCGGCTAACTACTGCTAGCAACCACTACCACCACTGTTGGTGGGATAGACGGAGAACCCGAACCCCCAAACCAAAACATAATACCGGTGATATTTAGTCTGACGATCACTCTGATAAAGCGCCGCACAGATCAGACAAATCCAGGAAACGGGTCACAAACTACATTCCAACCAACAGTTTTCAAAAATACAAACCACACGTTTTGTCGCACCACACAAACTGGCACCGCCGAGGACCATATTGCGCCTCCCAGCTGGCAAATTAAAGTGCCAAACAGAGCGTCTCTTATCGGGGTTACAAAGCATCGTTGTGCTGAATTACTCTGGCGGAGGTCCGCTGCGCCTCGGGGTCTCATATGTAGGTTAGCGCCAAACGGAGGGCCGTGGTACGGACAGCTTTAAACGGATGTGGTGAACAGCAGAATGGAATAAACCCCTCTTCTCTGTCACACTGTGATGCAGAGCGGAGGGCCGAACCAATGCGGCAGCGGAACGACCACGAGGCCGCTGAGTTCGACCCACAGCTGCAAATTTACTCAAGACGCCGTCCGTCTCATGTTCCGCCACCGACATAATAACTCATAAGCATAAGAGGCCTATCCGCGAACAGTCGGCCCTTTTGTGCACACTTCAGGGTCGATACCCCCCCCACCTCCCCGGGACAAAGCGAAGGGGAACGAGTCAAATCTGCACACACAAGCACTTTTAAAAACACCTGAAAGACACTTTGAACAAATTGCAAACCAAACATCTTCTTCTTTTGTGAACGTTGCAAACCGCGGCTTCATGAAATGCTGATTCAATGTCCCATCCTCACGTGGGAGGAGTGTCCCGAAAACAGCCAAAAGAAAGTGCGCGTTAAGTCTGTGTGCACGACGGTTTTCATTCCAGGGACGAGGGAAGCCGTCAGCTGCCATCAATTCATTCAGCGGGAACAAAAGGCGACGGAATACCAGAGTTTACTGGTCCCGGCGCTCCTCGCCAGGCAAACCGCTTTCTGGTTCCTCGCCGGAGAAGCTGGCAGAGCAGAGAAAGTTAAAAAGTCAAACCGCCAACAACAGCTGGAACTACAGGCGGAGACGTCAGGACTTTTGGTTCCTCGTATGGGACCAGCTTTAAAACCGTTGGTGCACTAGAACCACAACTTTAGAAAAATGTCCACGCGACTATTGCAGAGGAGCTGCTGCACCGGTAGCGAGGTCAGCACCGTTCGCTATGAGAAAAATCTTGGAAACTAGTAATTTGTTGAAATGACACTATTTTGTATTAACTCGGCTAATCCAAATATCCAATTAAAACATAAAAGTTGCTGGGAGCCACTACAGCTACCTCTTCTACATTTAGGTTTCCATCTCTATTCCCAATCTTGTTCGATTTTTTAGGTTTCATTTTGGTTCAACGTCAGGGTGTGGGCGGGTTCTTTTTTTCCGCCTATGGTTCGATACACTCCTTCATTTTGCGTGGGGGGAAAGTTTAAGGGGAACATTTCTTACCATCATATATTTCTCTAACCTGAAGGAGTTTGGTCGACCCCTCGCACTCCTGACTCCGTCAAGATGGCATCGTACCACCAACCGGCTGCTCCACAGATCAAGCCCCCCCCCCCAACGACGACAGGAATGCACATAAGACCTTCCCCCTGCTCCCACCCTAACCCTGCCTGCTCGCTTTCATAACCCGACTCTCGCTTGTTGGTGTAATTATTCCTTGTTCAAGTTCACTGGGGCGAGAACCTCAGGGGAAGCATGTGGAGGGTAACGGGAGGGGGGGGACTGAAGATTGGAGGTGACAGCGTCGACATGTAGGCCAGAAACGGTCAGGACCGTCCCCCCGGTTTGGCGAGGAGGGAGATCGACCGGCCCGCACGGCGTTCTGATCTCACTCCGACGCCTCGGAGATGAACTGGATAGACAACGTAGCCCGACCACGTCGCCGCTCATCAGCGGTGGAAAACTCCGGTTTACGAAATATTCGTGACGTCCCCGGAAGAGACGTGGCGCTCTAAGTGTCTCTGGCAGTCGCCATCTGGGCAGATAACAGCCTTTTTTATGAATGGGAATAAAAGTGGATCAACGGCGGAGCTGAAGAGCCCCCCCCGCCCCCCCCCCCCCATAAAATAAATAACGCCATCATGAGCTTATGATACCAAAAACGTCATCATTTTAACGTCGATGGGGATTGACTGGCTCTTGGAGACTGCCTCAAGTGGACATTTGATGAACTGCAGCATTTGGCACTTTGGCTTCGTATTTTTGTGTTTATCCGATATGAACTTTGCATTGTGCGACTGTTATCTGTCTTGTTGTTTTTTGTTGTCCTGCGTGATGTGCGAACTCAAACGCTTACCCAGGTACAGCGACGCGTTCTCCTTCTTGACGTTGTCGTCCAGGTAGGTGGGTCCCAGCGTGTAGATGGGCGTGGACCCCATGCCCACCAGGATCTGAGCGATCACGAACAGCGCCACGTACAGGTTGTGCTCGTTGCCCTCCTGGTCCCTGGGACAGGAAGTGATGTCGACGCGGTCCCGCCCGCTGCCGTTGCTGTTCATGCAGAGCCCCTCGTTGCCGGAGGACGAGTTGACCTCCTGGATCTGGTAGGGTGGTGAGATGAAGTGGGGCAGGGAGAAGAGGGCGGCGCCCACGGCGATGAAGATGCCGCCGACCGCCAGCCAGCGTGGCCTCTGGCCCCGCCCGCCGAAGTAGCTGATGAAGACGACCACCAGGAGGCTGCCGATGTCGAAGCAGCTGACGAGGAGGCCCGACTCGGAGCTCCTCAGGCTGTACCTCTTCTCGATGGTGGTGATGACGCTGCTGAGGTAGCCGGACACCATGAGCGATTGGATGAACGTCAGGTAGCACATGCAGAACAGGAAGCAGCGAGAGTCCTGCGTGATGGAGCTCAAGTACTTCCTGCTGGGGAGGCGTATCCGAGCCAGCCGGGAGGCAAAAAACCCCGGCGGCTTCCTCCTCGCCGTGTTTTTACTGCGCCGGGTCTCCGTGTTCGCCATGTACGAGCTCGGACGGTTCAGCGCCGACTTCCCCGGCTTGGGCTGGTAGGTGGCCCCGGTGGGGGACTCCGCCCGGGAGGACTCGGCCTTGGCCGAGAGCCGGACGAACTCTGCGCTCTCTTCGGGGGCGGAGGCGGCCAGCAGTGTCTCCTCCTGAGGAGCTTCTTCGTTCAGAACAGGTAGACTTTTGGACTTGAATTCCGTACCCGTCTCCTCGGGCTCGCTGGAGAACCCGTCCTCCTTCCGAAGGGACTCGGACAACTCTGCTTCCTCGTGGTCGGCCATTATTTCCAGTCAAACCTTCCTTTCCTTCTCCAGGCTCAGAAAAAAAAATGCCCCAGTTCCAAACCTACATTCACAGTTCAGGGGCTGCTGCCCATTACACTTATTATTAATGGGTACATGGACTCCCACAAATTAAAGCAAAAGAGGAGACAAAAAAAAACCTAATAAAAGGAAAGGGAGAGTTGACTCACAGCTTCTGCTGATCTGCGGCGCAGGCTGGACCAGCTCCGTTTAATCTCTGTCATGCCACCATCTGATCCGGGAGCTGGAGAACTGCTCGGGCCTCCTGGGCCAAAGATCCCTGCAGATGCACGACATGTCCGCTCGGCGGCTCTTCTACGCGGGACGCTGCTGCGAGCGTCGCATCGCTGTCAGCCCTGCCGACGAAGATCACACCGTTACAATGTTCCCCGGTTGCACTGACGTTGAACGATCCCAAATTTCCTCCCTAACTCATCCTCCCCGAAGTCAAGGGCATCGCCGCCGCCACCCCCGTCCTCATGTTATCACCGCACCAGCTGTCCGCCCAGCGGGCGAGAGAGGCTGTCATTTAGCGATTATATTTCTCAGTAAATCCCCCACGAATATGTATATTACAAAAATAAAATAAAAATCGGCAAAAGGGAAAAACAGTCGCCGAGGATCACCGGAGTCTGGCGAAGGTGCTGCTCGGATATTAAACGCCGCTCCGAAAACACCGCAGTGCTCAGCGGCTGGCTGTTTTGAAAAAACAATTGCGTCAAGCTGCGGAATTCACAAGAAGGCGCCGGAAACGACGCACCCTCAAAACTAAAAGCACGTGATGGCGATGTAAATACTTTCGAAAACGTCTGACGGAAGGATGTCAGCGACAACGGCGATGCATAAGTGCAAAAAAAGAAAGACATGCGGACATGTCTCGCGGAATCCCATTAATTGTGCCTGCTCATCTACAATGGTTATGAAATAAAAAATAGTTAACAGCGATGGCTACTGGTTTATTCGGCCTGCACTGTATCCATTAAGCTAGCTAACGTTAGCTGATGCTCGCTAGCTAAAATAGCAGGAACTATTTGGGAGACCAACATTTGTCAACTTGGTTATTATTTAATAGTAAAAAGTTTAACGTTTTTAATGTTTTATGACAGAGCGTGTGTAAATGTTTAAACATCTGTTGTTGACTGACGTACTTTCTTTCTTCATATTTGAGGTTTAACTTTGAAAGGGTGCAACCAGAAGTGCTTCTTTACTACACGGCTAACGTAGATCCAGCTAGCGGTACAGCTAGCCGCTTTCCCGCAGTGGAAGCGTTCACCGATGGACCAAACAACAATGCCAGACTGACCTGACGACGCGAGCCTTCAAGTCTTCACGGCCGAGTCAGACCCCACGCGGCGACAATAACACAAAATACGCGTTCATGTTCAAATATCTCACATACGAAACATCTTGCCCGGAGCTGCGTCAATGCACAGGCATTTAGCCAGACCAAACCGGAAACAGTTCAAAGTAAAAACATAATGCCGAGCGCCCAGTAAACCCTTTTTGGTGAGGTTAGTGTATTTGTAAAGCGTTCTCAAAAAATTATACTCAGACAAGGATATCAAGACATACAAATACAAGTGTGAATGAAAGAGCATAAATTAAATGCAGCAAATCATGAAGCAAAAGTATCATTGATGTTGAAGCAGAGAAAAACATTACAACATTTGAGCTGATATCTATAAAAAAGTAAATTACTTAAATGATCGTTTAATCCCCACAATAATGATATGTGTTACTCATAGTTAATGTTCTAGCCACGTGTGCTGTCCATGTTTGAAAAGCACATCTCAGTATATGACAGTGGAATGGTAATGTAAAGAGGGACCTCTAGTGGAAAACTTAATATCTGTACATAGCTGATGGAGCAAGAAGATTAAAGCAGCGGAAGTCCCATTACACCTTAAACCAACGCTTATTAGCATTTAAATTGTAATTTAAGCTTCAAGCTATAACGTCCTGCCTATAACTGTATTGATAGAACATATACTATTATACTAATAAAATTAGCATTTAACTGAGATATACAAAATACAATATGGAAAATATATCAATGGGATATCTCAAATCAGCAGCGCAGTCAAATAGTTATCAGAGATTTTATTCACACTTCAACTCCATGAAAATGAAATCTATTTGCAATTTCATAAAACATTTTATTTTCAGTTGGGAAAATCCTTACAATAATAATAATAATAATGTACTTTCCATAGCGCTTTTCTAGGTACCCAAAGACGCTTTACAAAGACAGACAACAACAAAACCAGGCAATAAAGAAGGAGAAACAAGCAGACAAAAGAAACAAACAACACAAAAAAAAGAATAAATGGAGAAAACTGCGCCAGAATCAGTAATGAAGGGGTTAGTATTGGAAGGTGAGTTTGAAGGGGTGGGATTTGAGGGCTTGTTTTAATGATGATACGGTGGGAGCCTGGCAGATGTGGATGGGGGGGGGTTTCAGAGGTGCAGCAGCTGAGAAGGCCCTGTCGCCCCAGGGCCGGCGCTGGGTCCTGAGAGTCTTCAGTCTTCAGAGGGTCTGAGGCTCGTGTTGGGGCGTCAAGGGGGAGGAGGTCTGAGAGGTATGTAGGGGCCAGGTTGTTCAGGGTTTTGTAGGTGGTGAGTAATATTTTGAAGTCTATCCTGTATTTGACCAGGAGCCTGTGGAGGTTGTTCATAGCGGCGGGTGGAGGTGAGCAGTCGAGCGGCAGAGTTCTGAACATATTTGAGTTTGTTGAGGATTTCGTTGGGAGAGCCGTAGAGGGCGCTGTTGCAGTAGTCGAGTCTGGAGGTTATGAGGTCATGGATGAGAATTTCGGTGGTGGCAGAGAGAGAGGGTTTGAGCCATGCAATGTTCCCGAGGTGGAAGGAGGCAGTCTTGGTGATTTGGTTGGCATGGGGTAGGAAAGAAAGGGTGGGGGTCGAGGATCTTACCGAGGTTGCGGAACAGGCTGGAGGGGGTGACGATGGAGACTTTGATGTTGAGAGAGAAGGAAATACTCATCATCGGCCCAATGATGAGTTTTTCAGATTTATTGCAGTTGAGTTTGAAAAAGTTCTGTTGCATCCATGATTTTATGTCAAGGCACTGCAGTGAGTTGATGCTCTTGGAGGAGAGTAGAGTCGGGTGTTTTCGATGTAGCAGTGGCAATTGAGACCATGACGAAGGATGATTTGTTCAAGGGGAAGGATGAAAATGATAAAGAGGAGGGGACCGCCGTGGATGACTGGGGAGGTGGAGGATTTACCAGTTGTATATGGGAATAAATGGAGGTCGGTATGCGAGAGAAGAGGTGATCCAGGAGAAGCCAGTATCAGTTATGCCAATGGAGTACTTGAGACGTGAGAGGAGGAGTGGTTGATGGTATCGAAGGCAGTGATGAGGTCAAGAAAGATGAGGATGCTGAGTTAGCAGAGAGGAGTGTGGCTTTGTCAAGAAAGTTCCCCCTGATCACTTGTGAGTTTTGCCCACGTCCCATTAGGTGCTCCGTTAGATTATGTAATTAACCAAAAACAGGATAGTTAGTGTTAGCAGCCACAGGCACCAAGGGAAAAAAAAACAGTATACAAAAAGGGCCAACCGGCCTTTTGTTTCTGAATAAAGATGTGGACAAAACCAAAATTGTAGCCATCTATTTGTTTAATGTTGTTGACTACAATTTACAAGCTCAGCCGTGTTTCCAACTGGATTGAAAAGATAGATTCCAGCATAGAGAGGCTGAGTGAACGCGGTCTGGACTCTGCAGAGCAAAGTCATGGTTTCAGTGATGCTGTGGAAGGACAGAACACCTCCTCTCTGGTCCAGGTAGGACCCCTACTCTGGAGGATCGAGGACCCGTCACGGGAGTTTGGACCTTGTTATTTCTGAATTCATAACGATCCTTGAAAATACCCAATGCCCAGACCTTTGACAATCTCCAAATTTCTCATTTACAGTTTCACGGTCTTTGTATGCAACTGCAATAACAACTCCACCCATGCCTTTCTCGACCTCCCAGTAGCAACGTCCAGTTAGACTCTCTCTGCTCAGGACCTGATAATGATCAGTGAATCTGTCTGGGTTATTAGGATACGACTGTTCTTGTATCGTCGATGTGACTCTTCTGTTCCCCTTAGATAATAACAGACGTGTGTTCGCTGTGTTTGGATCCAGTGTGATTTTGGATGAATACTGTAAGAATTCAGCTCTGGTCCTTGGTTCTGGTTCTGACAGTAAAACATCCAGTTGAGTCCCCTTCAGTGAGACGTTTGAACTTTTCTCTCTGAGGACGTCCTCTAGTTTGTCTCTGACTTCTGACACAGCTGCTGTAACGTCCTCAAAGCAGCTCAGAGGACGGATCTTGATGCTGGATGACTCTGTAGACTCACTGAGGGGGGACACTGAGGGGTAGTTCTGGAGGAACTGGTTGAGGTCTTCTGTGTGTGAGAGCTCCTGCAGCTCAGCGTCGCTCCTCTTCAGCTCTGAGATCTCCTGCTGCAGCTTCTCCTGAAGATCTTTGACTCGACTCACTTCAGCTCTCTGCTGGGATCTGACCTGCTGCTTCACATCAGAGTTTCTTTCCTCTATGAGACAGATCAGCTGGGAGAAGATCTTCTCATTGTCCTCTACTGCTTTATCAGCAGAGAGATTGATTTTCTCCTCCTCCTGTTGAAGCAGCTTTACACCTTTCTCTCTGTCCTGGATTCTCTGCTGGATGTTGAGTCGACTCACCTCCAGCTCTTTCTGCCTCTCAGTCCTTTCTGCTGCAGCTGAGACCGTGTCGTGGTCTTTATGTTCATCCATAAAGCAAAGATAACAGATGCTCTGCTGATCAGTACGACAGAAGATCTTCATCACCTCACCATGAAGAGAGCAGATGTTCTCCTGGAGCTCTTTGGAGGGGTCCACCAGCTTGTGTTTCTCAAATGTCCGGGACTCATAATGAGGCTGAAGGTGTTTCTCACAGTAAGAAGCCAGACACACCAGACAGGACTTGACGGCTTTCAGCTTCCTCCCAGTGCAGAAATCACACGCCACATCTTCAGGTCCAGCATAGCAGTGATCAGCAGGCGCCACTTTGAGTCCACTCTTTTTCAGTTCCTCCAGCAGATCTGCTAACATGGTGTTCTTTCCCAGGACAGGCCTCGGGGCGAAGGTCTGCCTACACTGAGGGCAGCTGTGGAGGTTCTTCTCATCCTCTTTATCCCAGTGGGTGTTAATACAGCTCATGCAGTAGCTGTGTCCACAGGGAATAGTCACCGGGTCCTTCAGGAGGTCCAGACAGACGGAACAGGAGACTCTCTCCTGGTCCAGAGGATTTCCTTGCTGCGCCATTCTACCTCTTAGTGATGCTGACCATTAAAAAAGTTCGCTGAACAGAAACCATCTGTGTGTTCACCTGCTGCAGTGAATAATGAATCTGCTTCCTTCTTTCTCAACATGTTGTTTAACTATTCTTTGGCACAGGGAGGAGTTTACAGGTTGTACCACATTCCACCAGTGAGTCATCAAGTGAGAGATGTAGTGTGTAAACATTGTAACGTGCAGTGACAGTTGGACTTTAAGCTTCCACTCTGCCTCCTTAAATATATTTATGATTCACTGCGGTGGTTATTGCTGTATATTTAAGGCCAGCAGAAAGCAGGTCCAAACTTCCCCACCCATCATCACAGCTGTGTCACCCGAGACTTTTCGCATTATTCCAGGAAGAGGAGCGGTTTTACATAAAGTGGGCGAGTTTTCAGTTCTTTCTACTCACGTTGAAGGGGGTAGATATGGTATATTCCCCTTACAGACGACATTGAATGACTTTGTTACTTTTGCTTCCAAGTCGCAGCTCTAATACATTTAAAAGAGGGTGGCATATTTAATACAGGAGTTTGTATTGTAGTAATCAGGAACATTTGTTACCAAAATATGTTAGACATACGAGGAAGTTGACTTGCCGTTTGTGCATAAAATCAGACAGTGAGACAATGGACAACAAGACAGATGAGACAACATAGTGCAAGAACAACATAGTGCAAGAAGTATTTAAATAAAAAATAATAAAAAGTTTAAAAAGTTAAACTTAAAGTGCACCAGCGAACAGAAAGTGACAAGTGAGAGGTGTATGTGCGTGTGGAGTGTGAAGGGAGTGACCGGTGGGATGTCAGAGTCAGTCAGTGGGGGACCCGGGCGCTGTTGATGAGCCTGACTGCCTGCTGAGGCCGAATTTCTTTAGCTGCCTTATGAAGAACAACCTCTGCTGAGCCTTCTTGATGATGGAGCTGATGTTCAGCTCCCACTTGACGTCCTGGGTGATGATGGAGCCCAGAAAACGGAAGAAGTCCACAGCAGTGATGGGGGAGTCACGCAGGGTGATGGGGGAAGGTGGGACTGCGTTCTTCCTAAAATCCACAACCATCTCCACTGTCTTCAGAGCGTTGAGCTCCAAGTTGTTTTGGCTGCACGAAAACAACCAGATGGTCAGAATCCCACCTGTAAGCGGACTCATCCCCACCAGAGATCAGTCCAATGAGGGTGGTGTCACCCGCAAACTTCAGGAGCTCGACGGACTGGTGATCTGACTGGAGGTGCAGCTGTTGGTGTACAGGGAGAAGAGCAGAGGGAAGAGAACGCAGCCTTGGGGGGGAACTGTTGATGGACCGAGAGGCTGAAACATGTTTCCATAGCTTCACGTGCTGCTTGCTGTCAGACAAGAAGTCAGTGATCCACTTGCAGGTGGAGTCAGGTACGTGCAGCTGAGAGAGTTTGTCCTGCAGCAGAGACGGGATGATGGTGTTGAGGGCAGATTGGTGGAGCTGTGGGGGATGGAGTCAGGGCATTGACTATCAAATCTGCATTTGACTGATAAGGTTTCACATGCTTTTGAGACCGTTTCTGAGATTTACATGGGTGTGTGCGTGGCAGGCTTGAGTGGAGACTGAAAACCTAGAGTGGAGACCAGCTTCAGTATCTGGTTTTAAAAATAGTTATTCGGCATTGCCACAATTTTTACTCTTCATGCTTAGATTTTTGGTTTAAAGAAATAAAGAATCCTTTATTAATACCTGTGTGGAAATTTCTCTCTGCATTTAACCCGTTCAAAGCAGTGGGACGAGCGGCTGTCCTAAACCAACCCGTGGAGCCGTTAGGGGTGAGGTGTCTTGCTAAGGGAGACTTTGACGCGAGAGATGGAGTAGCCGGGGTCAGAACCATTACCTCTGCGCGCCTTCTCTACTCTGTGCGCCGCGGTCGACCCCAGAAAGGATTAAAGGATAGTTAATCTTGTGCTTGTCGTAGAAATGTGAATGTGGAATCCATCAGACATATACTTCGGCCACATCCCTCTGAGAGCGAGACAAAGTCCAACTCTCACCCCATAGAGACCAATCAGTGACAAGTCTCTCAGAAAGCAGAAGGTACAAGTTTTTGAAACTGCCGGTAGAGTCGTATTTCTGATCGCACAGAAAAATAGATATATCTCTCCATTCAGCAGAGTCTTGGGTCTCGGAAGATATCCTTTTTTTGGGGGGGTTGGATTTATCGTTTTGCGTCCAGAGGCACGTTTTTGACGTGTGGATTATTGGTAAAAACACTGTTAACTCTCCCTGGTCTTTGATCAGCGCGGGAACGTGGCAGCTGCTTCGTGACCACCCAACGACTCGCGGCAAGAACTCACTCTCCGTCTCTCCCTTACAAAAGTGATCGGTATTAGTTAATTAGTGCAGCAAACACAGACACACACACACACACGTATGTGGGCGGGCACCATGTCAGAAACGCACTACCTAGCATAGAGCTAAAATTACACAAGCTAACGTTGCGCTAGCTTTGGTTAAACTGGACCAAATGGCTGACAAGTGGCTATAACAGCCAGAAAAAAATCTTCCTTGTCTTTAGCTCGCTAGCTAGCTGGCTAGCTAGCCTGTGTGGCCAACCTTCACTTGCCTGCGTGGCTGACTCATGCACAGACATCAACAGAGATAATTCATCTCACCTTTTTGGAATTCGCCTGGTGCGTCTGGGTTTGTCTTTTGGTTTGTTTGCCAATCACTGTTAGTACTGTCCATTTCTGTCCAGCAAAAATCTTTCATTCACTGGTTGTCAAGCGATTAGTTACACACAATAACCAGTAGATAATGTAGTTTAATGATTTTAGCCTTCAACAGTTTTTTCATGAGGGAATTTTCAGGAAATTCATTTCAGCTCTTAAAACTTATTTCAGCCTTTTTTACAGTTCTGTATTTTCGTGCATCTTCCAAACTCCTGAATATATAAAAAATATGTCAATGGAATATTTCAAACCAGCAGAATTAGTCAAAAATTCATCAGGCATTATATTCATACTTCAATTCCATGAAAATGAACTATTTGCAGTGTAATACATTTTATTATCAGTACTCAATCTACAAGTCTTGTTCCTGGGAAAATCCTCATCTTTCCTCTCCTATCGTTTGTTGTACAAAGCTCCTTAGGTAACAATGTACTTAGCGTCAGCAGCCACAGGCACCATGGCAAAGTAAAACACAGGATACAAAAAACAGCCTTTTATGTATGAATAAAGATGTAGACAAAACCAAAATTGTAGTTCCCTTTTTTCCCTTTTTGCCAACTACAACTTACACAGCTCAGCACTGTTTCCAGTTGGACGGAAAAGATGAAGTCCAGCATAGAGAGGCTGAGTGAACGTCGTCTGGACCCTGTGGAGGAGCGTCATGGTTTCAGTGATGCTGAAGAAGGACAGAACACCTGCTCTGTAGTCCAGGTAGACTCCTACTCTGGAGGACCGAGGACCTGAGACAGGGGTTTGGACTTTGTTATGTTTAAAATTATAACGATCCTTGAAAATACCCAATGCCCAAGACTTTTGACGACCTGCAGTTTTTTCATTTACTGTTTTATGTTGTTTGTATGCTACTACAATATTAATTCCACCCTTGCCTTTCTCAACCTCCCAGTAGCAACGTCCAGTCAGACTCTCTCTGCTCAGGACCTGAAATCTATCAGTGAATCTTTCGGGCTGTTTTTCATCATTTGGTGTTCCATTGAATGTTACTTTTTTGTTTCCTTTAGATAATGACAAACAAGCGTCGGCTGTGATTGGATCCAGTGTGATTTTGGATGAATACTGTAAGAATTCAGCTCTTGTCTTTGGTTGTGGTTCTGACAGTAAAACATCCAGGTCAGTCCCTGTCAGTAAGACGTTTGATCTTTTCTCTCTGAGGACGTCCTCCAGTTTGTCTCTAACTTCTGACACAGCTGCTGTAACGTCCTCAAAGCAGCTCAGAGGACGGATCTTGATGCTGGACGACTCTGTAGACTCACTGAGGGGGGACACTGAGGGGTAGTTCTGGAGGAACTGGTTGAGGTCTTTTGTGTGTGAGAGCTCCTGCAGCTCAGCGTCGCTTCTCTTCAGCTCTGAGATCTCCTGCTGTAGCTTCTCCTGAAGATCTTTGACTCGACTCACTTCAGCTCTCTGCTGGGATCTGACCTGCTGCTTCACATCAGAGTTTCTTTCCTCTATGAGACAGATCAGCTGGGAGAAGATCTTCTCATTGTCCTCTACTGCTTTATCAGCAGAGAGATTGATTTTCTCCTCCTCCTGTTGAAGCAGCTTCACACCTTTCTCTCTGTCCTGGATTCTCTGCTGGATGTTGAGTCGACTCACCTCCAGCTCTTTCTGCCTCTCAGACCTTTCTGCTGCAGCTGAGACCGTGTCGTGGTCTTTATGTTTATCCATTAAGCAAAGATAACAGATGCTCTGCTGATCAGTACGACAGAAGATCTTCATCACCTCACCATGAAGAGAGCAGATGTTCTCCTGGAGCTCTTTGGAGGGGTCCACCAGCTTGTGTTTCTCAAATGTCCGGGACTCATAATGAGGCTGAAGGTGTTTCTCACAGTAAGAAGCCAGACACACCAGACAGGACTTGACGGCTTTCAGCTTCCTCCCAGTGCAGAAATCACAGGCCACATCTTCAGGTCCAGCATAGCAGTGATTGGCAGGAGCAGCTTGGAGTCCACTCTTCTTCAGCTGCTCCACCAGATCTGCTAACATGGTGCACTTCACCAGGACAGGCCTCGGGGCAAAGATCCGCCTACACTGAGGGCAGCTGTGGAGGTTCTTCTCATCCTCTTTATCCCAGTGGGTGTTAATACAGCTCATGCAGTAGCTGTGTCCACAGGGAATAGTCACCGGGCCCTTCAGGAGGTCCAGACAGAGGGAACAGGAGATTCTCTCCTGGTCCAGAGGATTTCCTTGCTGCGCCATTCTACCTCTTAGTGATGCTGACTGTTAAAAAAGTTGCCTGAACAGAAACAATACGTGTGTTTACCTGCTGCAGTGAATGAGGAATCTGCTTCCTTCTTTCTTTCTCAACATGTTGTATATATACATTCTTTAGCACAGGGAGGAGTTTACAGGTTGTACCACATTCCATCAGAGAGTCATCAAGTGACACACACGGTATGTTAACTTTGCAACTTGAAGTACAAGCTTAGTCCAACGGAGAATAGTTAGACTTTAAGCTTCCCCTCAGCCTTCTCATGAGTCACTGTGGTGGTTATCGCTGTATATCAAAGGCCAGCAGAAAGAAGCTGTGCGCAGGTTTAAACTTCCCCCTCATCATTGCAGGTGTGTCACTTGACAGACTTTCTGCGTCATTCCAGGAAGAGGAGCCGTTTTATATAACCTGGGTGTGTTCTGAGTTTTCAGTTCTTGCTCACGTGGTGCAGTTGAGCGCTGATTGCAAAGGGCGTGTTCCTCTTACAGACGACGCAGAATGACTTTGCTACTTTTGCTTCCAAGTTGTAGCTGTAATACATTAAAAAGAGGGTGGCATATCTAATCAAGCTGTTTGTATTGTTGTGTACAATGCCACACTAATATTGTAGTGATATCAAGGACACGTCTCTATAAACAGGACCAGTTCCAGAACCAAACTCCTGAATTCTCCCGTTTAATTTGGTCAAACACGAGCAGCAGGTTTGTTTACAAGCAGCTCCCCTGTCTGAGACCTAAACCGGTAAGATCAGGTAAACAGCTGCTGCGTGTCACATGATGTTGCTCAGAATTCCACCAGCTTCTCGTCGGAAGATACCGCATCCAATCTCTGGCGTGAGGTGAGATGGAAACACCTTAAATTCAGAGCTGAGCCTTTAAAGACGTCAATTAGGTTCAACGCTCGACATTTAGAGAAGGTTTCACTTGAGGTCTGAAAACATGCAGATACATACACAGGGTTTTTCAACTCGCAGCACAGGTTTGTAAATGTCATATTTTCTGTTATTTAAAAATATTCATATTTGTCTGTGCCTTCCCTGTCAGCATTTTTTTTTTTGCATTTGTGATGATTGACATCCAAGGTATTTAAACTTATTCTACCGATTGAAAAAAAAAGATTTGTGTACACATCCTCTTGTTAGAATAAATCATAAGCTGGAGTCTGCTCCCTGCTGATTGTGCAGATTTTCTTTATTTCCCTCTCATGGGAGTTATAAACAGTCAGTGTGACCAGCTGAGAGCTTCACACACTTACCTCATGCAGCCACTTGGAGCCGCCCGAGGTCCATGTCTCATAATCTGGTGACGGGTTCTCTGTTCATGCAAAGAACAACTCGTATCTGATGATTCGGGACACTGTGAAAGGTGGAAATTCTCCAAAATGTAAACAAATCTTGCCAAAAGAAGTTGCATCCCACAGCTGACTCCAAGGCAACAATAAGCTTCCTCCCTTTCTCCTGAAGCACTGTGGGAAACATAGTTCTGAAACATTGAGGAAGACAAAGGAAGTTTCAGTTTATTAATATTTCTTTTACACAAAACAACATTTGATGAGGTTCGACATGACAAGTGGTTACCAAACCATTTGGTTTGTCCCGTCATGTTTCATATTTACTTATTTTAAATAGTTGGTAGCACTTATATAATAATAAATAAATAAAAGCAGTTCACACCTTAAATTTAAAATCAAACTGAATTTCTGGTACAATTGGGTAAAATAATCCAATGTTCCACAAAAGCAACAACGTCAAAGTACATTATCACAAATTCACACAGCCAATTAATGCTGCTTTTACACGGACTAATTACAATAACACTCATAGTACTACAGTACACACAGTATTAGTAGATTATATATCATTTATTCACATTCTTCAAGTGTAATTTGAATACTGGAGTTATACTTTTTACTCCACAAATGATATATTGATATTATATAAACTGTCTTAAAACGTATATTAATGAGGCTGATTAGAATATAACTCCAGTGGTACGATGTTGGAGACCTTTCAGTCATTTGGGAGCTGTGATCTGATCTGCAAGCCAGTCGGAGGAACAGCAACAGCAAATATTTAATCAGCAATTCGGTTTCGCCTTTCAAATATTCAGGAAATCTAATCCAATTAATCACGGTGTGATCTTTATTTCACGGCGTAATGAACTCCCCCCTCCACTCACTCAAGCGTGACTTCACAAAACCCTGCAACGAACGCACCTCTCATACACACACACACACACACACACACACACACACACACACACACACACACAAAGGATGACAAAGTGAAAGCAGACTGGAAGAAAATATGTCTCGGAAGGAAAGACATGCAATGCAGGTCCAAAATGAGGAAATGGGAGAGGAAAGAGGTCAGAAGGAAGCAGGGTAGGAGGGAAGGAGACTAGGAAAGAGTCTGTTGCTCTTGTTTTCTGATCAAATAATTCTGACATTATTATAATAATACAAACACTGAGAGCTTCAGTGATGCTCTTAAGGCTCTGCAGTGGTGCTAACACCAACAGGTTAGCACGTTGATGCTAGCATCTATAACCAATACTGTCGGCTGGGCATTCTGCTAATTTAGTATTGTTATTATTTAGTCAATTCTGATATTAATTACTAAAGGATGGTCAATTTAGAGTCAAAGCAGGGGATGATTTAGGTAGTCCACAAACATATGGACATTATAATGTACGCTACAAGTATAACGCTATAGTGTACAGCATAATGCTGTTGTGTGCTGCCATGTTCCTCCAGCCTGTGGATTCTCAGCCAGAGGCAGAAATAAAGCTCAATCTGTTGTGTTCCATCAGGCGCAGTAAGAGCTCTCTGTTGTGTCTCACATATCTCATCTTAACAGATTGGATCATCTGGAAACACCAGCAGGAGAAGTTGTTATTTCATCACATGGGTGCACACCTCAGAAACCCTTTGGTGTTCATGTTGTATTTTTGTGTTTTCATTCTACAATATTGTTTCTAGCTCATGTTACTGTTCCTGCAATTTCTGTGTTTTTATTTCACAAAGTTTGGAAGTTTTTGTATATATATATATATATATATATATATATATATATATATATATATATATATATATATATATACGCTTTATAAGTATGTCAATATATCTTTAGTAAGTAATCATGCTAACCCTTGAGGACAACAAAAAGCTTATTAATGAATAATCCTCCATCTTTAAAGTCAGATCAACGAGTCGTTCCCTCCTCACGCACGTGGAGGTGATGACGAGTCGATGAGGTGAGATACTCTGAGACCGGTGGATCCCTGAGGAACGAAAGGACGCTAATCCTCCGCAGAGGGAGTCGGTCACAGGTAAGAGGAGGACGATGGGGGTGGGGGGGGTGATAATAGCAGACAATAGAACGAGCCAAACACAGCGTGAAAGATTTAGATCTTCAGACTGTTTTTAGAGTGAGGAAGGTGACTGACGGGGATTAAACGGCGGCGTGTTAATTGACTAAGACTTTAGCACACATAAGTTAAATACATCTAGGTTCAACTAAAGGGATTCATCGATTAATGATCCAGTTGATTGACTGAAAATTAGTCGTTGGTTCCAGCTTCTCAAATTGCTTTTGCTTCCAAAAATAGGACATTTTTGAATAAAGTTTTGAATAACTTTGAATCGTGTACTCTTTATTCGACAAAACATAAGTCACATTTCTGCGTTGAGAACTTTGAGGACTTCTAGAACATTTTACTGATACTTACATGCTTTTACTTGAGTAACATTTTCAATGCAACACTCACAGTGTGTTATTTGCGTTTATTTATGGATATGAGTATTTCGATTTAACTAAAGAGAGTAAACATTGTGACATTAACATGTAGAAAAGTTAATCATATATTTTATGACGCGATTGTTGAGAAATCACCATTCGTCTGAGCCTTGAGACGTGGTTGAAAACAGTGACTTTAAGTGAGTGATGCTGAATCACAGCTTGAACCAGAGCTCTCTGCTGGTGATGTCACACGCTGCTGCCTCCTGAAGCCTGCAGCAGCGGGTGGGGGGTGGGGGTGGGGGGGGGGGGTCACTGTGGAGGGGCTTCCCGCTGCAGAGCTGCACTCTCAATCCTCCCCAAACGCTTTGGCTTCAGACAGCAGCAAGAAGAACACGAAGCAGCAGCAGCAGCAGGTAGAGGACAAACTACTGGAAGAAGACAGAAGTAACAGAAGAAGGAGTCTCCTGAATGGCACAGGTGCATGCTGGGACGTGCGGCGGAGACATGGAGAGGTCGCAGCGTGACGTGAAGGGGAAGACGAAGAGGAAGAGGAGGAGGAGGTGTAAAGGCAAAGGTTAGTCCAGCAGGTGTGTCCCCATCAAGCGTGTCTTACTGTCTTTGTGATGCTGACATTTGGATAACAATGTTTAATCTTCTTTGGCATCTTTAAAACGACGCGGTGCAAGTTCCACGTCTCTTTAATGCAGCCTAATGTTCTTATGATTGTTATTGTTTTCAATAGAAACTTCCCATATGTGCATTCAGGGAATAACCTCATTGTTTTTGAGTCAAACCTCCATCACCAGAACCAAATAATCAGCGTTCATCTTGGACTAAATCCAGTTACGATGTTCTGAATGTTTCATTCGATGTTTGAGGGGAAGCTTTTACCGGCTCACTAAGGTCTGACACAGAATCAAAGACTTTGCATAAAGCGGCACGTCGTAGCTCCTGACCCTTAGTTCACCATGTTAACATGATAATATTTGCTCATTAGAGTACTGTATTTACCCCTGAGATCTAGTGGAATAAAAGTATAAAGTACAATTACATGCACTTGAGTAAATGTACTTGATGTTGATATTCGAGTTTGGAGGAGCAACATTAATGACTTTAAATTACTATTTGATTTCATCTGCTCAAATTTAAAAAACGCTGCATTCTAAAAACAGCAACACTACAACCAGGGGGAGTAAAACAACACTGTACAGCCCGCTGTCTGTGTGCGTGTCTGTGTGCGTGTGTGTGATAAATGAAGCTCTGGTAATCATAATTACAGTCGTCTAGGCAACAGGTCAGCATTTTAGGATTAATCTGTCATTGTTGTCCACATGCTAATCCTCAGTAAATGCAGCAGATTACTGCGTGATGGCTTTTGTATTATTCAAAGTGCCCAAAGCCCATTCCACTTTCATTAATGACCCGTTGGCCTTTTTTTGTGTGTAAATCAGCGCCGGAGCGAAAACGGTCTCCTCCGCTCAAATGCCTCTTTTTTGGTCCGGCACGCACTTAGCGAACGCCGTTTCCCATCGTTGCTCTGAGGCCAGCTGTCCCCGCAGGAGGCATCGCGTCCTCCGACGAGGGCGAAGCTGACGCCGTCTTCCTCCACAACTGTTATTCGAGTTTGTTAACAGTGCTGCATGTTAAATAATGTATCATTTAGGATTATAAGGGTCATGTTTCCTTTGATCCATCGTTCTGTTATTAATCGCTAAAATACAAGTTTAGCTTTTTATTTATGGTGATGATGATTTAAAGAAATAAGCAAGAAGAGCCTTTGTGAGTCAATACAGGCTTTTGACCGTGTGAAACAGTGAAAATTGGCTTGAAAGGACGACAGTTAAGACGTAAATGCAACAAAAGTGCTTGGTTATGTTTAAGAGACAAAGAAACTTTAACGCCGGCCACAAGCAGTACAAAACACATGTTAAAAAAAGGATACACTCTTACGTATCTGCCTGATTATAGAGGTAAAAAGAACATCATGGTTTGGTTTTATGAAGAATGAAAAAATCACTAAAGAGACGAGTTGGATGAATATCGTCTCCCGTTAACTCCTCATATTGCAAATTAAACCCTTGTTCTGTCAGTTGATTAGGTCGCCAGAGAAAATGCGCTGAGAGGATTAAATCGATACCTCTGTCATGGCAGCAGGAAATCAGCCTCACTGTTATTCGTCAAACAAACAATAGATGAAGCATCACTGACCACAAATTGTCATTGTATATTTCTCTCTGTGAACTATTTAACAGATCATAAAATGTCAGTGAGCTTCATAAGTGCTAATATCTGCGTCAGGCTAGCTTTCCCCTTATGCTAAGCTAGGCTAACCACGTCTTAACCTTTAATAAGGTCAGCTAAACATGAAGTGCGTGTAACGTTAGTTACAACATTTCCACATGAACGATGGAAATAAAGACATCGAACGCCTGTTGCTCGCTAGGAAAACATCCGTGCTTTTGCTGTAATGTCAGACTTTGTTACAGAAAACTAAACTTCTGTCTTCTTGTCGGGAATTACTGAGCAAAGTCCACCGAGCACACGATGAAACGACTGTTAATGAGGATTTCTGTGCGGACAGAGTTATTGCCGGCTTTCCAGGAGAAAACAAATCACCATTTGGCTGCAAAATCCCCTTCTGCTGGCTTTTCAGTCTAAATTTAACAAACTGTCATTTGTTGGAGAAAACATTTGATCGCGGATTATGATTCTCCAACATGGAACAAACAGCTGCTGTCTGTCGGCGGCGGCGTGCGCACGAGTCCGTGTGTTCGATGCTTTTTGGATAAGTGAGCTCCGTCGCGCGGCCCAAGTTAGTGGGGCATGTCAGTGCGCAATTTCACTGATGGATTCTGCGATCTCCACACTTCTCCGGGGTCTGGCTCCACAAAACATTAGCAATATGCTTTGCGCGCCCATTCGACTTAATTGCAGGGATGCTCGGCGGGTAAATTGCGATGCTAACTCTGCGAGGGTTAGGGGTTAGCTCAGTGTGAGGGGAAGTGCTGCTGCCGCCGGGGGTTCGAGCCCCGCCGGGGATACGCAGGGGCATTTAAGTAGAGACATTTAAAAGGCAAAATCTGTAGTAGAGTCAGTTTCCTTCCTTTTATTGTTTGTCCGAAAATATATAAAACTGAACCTTAAATCCTTCTAGAATAGAAAACCACGCAAACCTACGGACCCCCGGCCCTCCTGCTGTGAGGCCACAGTGCTGACCACCACACCCCTGGGCCTCCCTAAATCCAGACTCCATTGGGGAAAACAACCATTTTAAAAGTGTTTGGCTTATCATCCCACTGAGAAAACCAAAAAACATGAATTCAGACTTTTTACAAAGTGGCATTGTTTTGAAATTCCTTCTGTCCGTTTATCGAAATGAAACACAGCAAAAGTATTTTGGGTTCATACAGCTGCAGTGGAACAGCCGGCATGCGCTACACAGCGAACGCACCTGTATAGCGCATGATGCTTTTTTACAAATTGCACTAAATTCTATTTAATGGTCCTCTCATCTCATTTGTTTCGTTGTGAACAATCCCGATAAGAGTATTATCTCCCGCACACACTGCTGCGTTATGTTCCTATAGTCTGTGGATTGATTCTCAAGCGAGCTTTATTCCGATAAGAATCTATTTGTTGAAGTTGTCTTTCTCGGCTCAGAGGGTAAATAATGATTTTATGAGTGAAAGCACTGACGATAGTTAGAATGAGAACAAGCTGCTGTAATAAATGTACTCGTCTTTTTTTTATTTGAATAAATGATCCCTCTCTTGCACTCTCATTCGTCATTAGTGGCTTCGTTAATAAAATGTGTTATAAATAAACAGCTACGGTATAATTATATTTGTTATTAACCAACAGAGATGTTTTAATAATCAGACATAGTTTAGGCCCAACTTTGGGTCTTCTGAGCAGTGGAGAGAGAAGTTTGGACTGGGATTTGTTCAGCTGATCCCAACAGCTCTCAGCCTGGACTGACTTTTAATTTTAATCAGTCCTGGACTGACTTGTTCTCAGCTGCTTTTATTGTGAAAACCTTTTTTTCACTGAGGATCCATCCACACTGATACATTTCAGTTTTAAACTGGGGTTTTAAATCTAATACAATCCACATCTACACGCAGTAACAGGCCTAAAAAAACATCATGTGGGCGTAAACGTAGGAAAAGATGAGCGTTTCAATGGGAATGTGGTAGCTGGAGCCTCCTTTTCTGTGTCTGTGTCTCTTACTCTTTACACCCTTGACTTCCCGATTGAAGGGATAAAAGAACAACGATGCCACACACAATCACACTTGGAGGCAAATGAAAGCCGATCTTTGAAGCTGATGAAGAGGCGGCGGAGCAGCAGGCGAGGGAGTTAAAAGCTAAAACGAGGCCATCGTCAGCAATCAACAGCCTGCCGTAGATTATTGCTGTCATTGTTATTATCCCTCGTTGCAATTTCTCCGCACATGGCCATATGTTTCAGGCAATAATTTCATCACTCATTTCCAAAGAACGATCATCAGTCCGTTGGTTTGAGAGCAGACGTTAAGCTTCAGCTGCTTGAGTTTGATTTGAATGAGTTGCAGCGCTGAAATACATTAAGAGTTGGACACAAAAAGGAAAAGCTTTGTAGTCCGTTCGAACTGCAGAGGACAAAATGCGTTTGATTATTTTTGGGGATTTTCAGCTTTATTTGACAGATGACATGTGTAGAAATGTGGGGGTGGGGAGGGTATGACATGCAACAAAGGTCCAAAGGCTGGAATCTGACCATGAACTCGTTGGGTCAACATTAGTTCTGGAGGTCCTGTCTGTTCACCATTCAAAGAAGGAAATGAGATGCACTTTTATCCAAATTGCAGACACAAGTGGAAGCAACTTGATAGTTGTCGTGTCACAAATAACACAAATAAGCTTCCAGATGAAAATGAGTTAAGTGAAATTCATCACCAACCTTTATTGATTTGTCTCTTTGCATTAATGCAATCTTAAAACAAATCTTAAAAGGGATGATAAATAATTGTGTCAAATGGTGTTGAATGGTCAGAAGCAAAATAAACCTTAATAAGCGGTTATAATAAGCATATACTTTTGGTAATGGTAGGTCGGCTTCAAAAGCAACTTCATAATTTGCGTACGTACCCTTTATTGAAGATTTGAAAGCAGATTCTATGTGGAAACAACTCATACAAAGGAAAATCAAAGAAAATCAATGATGCAATAAGAACGGGTCCAGGATATTAAATTAAATAAGTCACCAATAATCTACTATTAAAGATTAGAATAACGAAAGTGAGCGTTGATTGAGAGATTTCTTCCAAAAGTTTCTTTATTTCTTTGCCCTTGAGAAAAGACAGTCCACGTTGCAAGTAAATGGAACTGCTTGCCATTAATTACACTTAACAAATGAGATTATCCACAGCTGTCAAACCACATACACACACACACACCCTGGACAGGCAGCGGGCGCTTCTCGCTTCCCCCCTGCCATGCCTAATTTCATTATTCTATTAAAAAAGGTTCATTAACAGCGGCTGGATGGAGAAACATCCCTTCTGAGGTTTGATAAACACGAGCGTGCTGGAATATGAATCCATGCAGACTGCGGCGATCACTTGAGGATCCGCCTGCAGCGTTATTATTGAAATTTATATTTAAGCAAAGCACAAAGATAACAAACAGTAACATCTGCCTGTCGACTATTTAGCAGCTTTATGTCACATTTAAAGGAACATTTAGTACAAGCAGTGTTTAAGCCCTGCCTTTAAGAAATAACGATTTGATAAAACTCTACATAACAGTTTTTTCAGTGCAAAAAATCCCAAATTCACCAGTTATAGTATTATAGAATTAAACAATTTATATGGAAAACAGTGTTTCCATTCGCAGTGATGCAAAGGGCAAACTGACTGATATAAGTACACGTTACGTGTCATTACTTTACATCACCTGTGTTGCGCAACAGCAGTTTCATATTTAAATTGATGCACAACCCCTTTTTTTGTGTGGATTTGCTTGTTGAGAAGATTAAAGGTGGATTAAACAAATGATTCCTCATTTTGCAACCTGGTTAACCTCTATTTAAATCAAGTGTTAAGTCGAACACTGCAATCCTCAAATGGGTGTGAGTTAATGGAGTGCTCGTGGATTGAGAGTGTTTACGAGCGAGATGGGGAGTGGGGCGGGGGGGGTGAAAGAGGGGCGAGGGGCTCAGCCGGTGTAACGCAAAGACAAACACAGTTATTATCTGCTTCAACCCCAAAAGCGAGTGTCCCCATTAGCTGACGGTGTAGGTCATTAGGGACACCTCCACCCTCAGCCTGCCGGGGGCCTTCAGCAGCTCCAGACTCACGTCCTACACTCACTTCCCGTCTCACAGCTCATTTCAGCCGCCCCCCCATAATAGCATCACACGCCTGAACTAACTGCAAGGTGCGAGGTCAATGTCGAGTAGTTTAGTGTGCGCACTTCATTATTGTAATGACTTAACTCCGCGTCGCGCTGCCCTCCAATATCACCAGGGATTCATCAAGGAGGGGCCGAACGGGCAGTAGAATTACTGCCCCACTGGCACTGCTGAAGAACTGTTTCATGGGAGCACCAGATAAATCTAAATCTGGAGATAAATGGGGTCGGATGTTCAGGGGGCCAATAGGGATGTGATCTATTACAGCGGTGGAGCTGCTGGTGTACCCTGAAGCCAAATCCCCAAATCCAAAGATGTGAAATAGATATTGTTTGGAATATTCTATACGTGTAGGAGGAGGACAGGTCTGCATGCAAAGATCGGAAGATTCCAACCTACTTATTTAATACACTTTTAGGTTTTTAACAGTTGATTACCACAGTGAAAAAAGGCATTCACTGATTTTTTTGTGAAAAGCGTCCCCTGCTTTATGGTTTGTTTGACTCTAAATGGACCATAATTCACTAAATGAACATCATGCGGTATTGAAGAAGACCTAAAATTAGAGATTGAGACCATAAACACACGTTTACAATGATTACTGGGGGTATAAATCAAGAGAGAAGTAGAGTCATTTTCTCGTAGGGATCAGAGGAGTCGCCCCCTGCTGGTCACTACAGAGAATGCAGCTTTAACCCTTGAAACCATCAGAGAATGATTCCATTAAAGGTCATTTAGCTGACGCTTTTATCCAAAGCGACTTACATTGCATTTTTTAACCCATGGTTTTACATTTTGCCCAGGGAGCTATTAGGAGTTGGGTGCCTTGCTCGGGGACACTTCGACATGGGACATGGAGCAGCCGGGGTTCGAACCGCCAACCTTGCGGTTACCAGTGCACCCTCTCTACTGCATGCCGCGTGGTGTTACCATTGTGGGATATTCTCTTCTGTATCTAACACATCTGACACCTTCACACCACACGCCACTTAAAAATCCACTTAAAAGTGATGCAAAAGGTTTGTGTCCGACTCAGGACACGTGTGACCTGGTTAATAGGACAACGCTTCAAGCCCGTTGATGCTTTCTGTCTGAAGACCTCCGTCCACCGACACCTTCCAGTCATTTCATTACCTTTATGGCTGCGACTGAATATAAAAATACGCCGAAAAGCGTTTACATCCACGAGTGTTATTGGGATCATCACAAAAATGTCAGAATGAGTTGTTTTAAATACAAGAAATCCTGCATCTTTCTGCATCCTGTTGTGGAGAGAACGCACAATGATCTCATGTGTTTTTGGTGCCGTCTTTTCAGAACGAGGCAACGTGTTATCGACTCTCATCAATCCCATAAGTCACTGCGATGCCGGAGTATCATCCGCTGAGGATGCAGACAATTCAAGTAAATATATTTCCTGCTTGTACTTTACAAACGTTTTATTTTTCCCGCAAATAAAACAGAAGTTTTCAAGTCCAGCTACCAGAGACAGATTACACCAGAAGCCATTCAGCATTCTGTGACTATTTCAAGGCGCTACTGGACGGTCTGTGGGACTGAAACACCACTTTGGTGATCTGCTGACCACCATGAGCATGATGTGTTTATGTGCATTCGGGTCCCCGGGTTCGACCCGTTCTCACGGCCACAGCGTTAAATAACATCTAAATTATTAGATTTCTATTACGAAAATCTATTTTTTTGCCTTCATGTCAATTTTCCCCCGTCTTGATTTCCATCGCCACCAGGTACGAGCAGTCTGGAGGTGAAAGAGAACCGTGATGATGGCGGCCAGCTCGACGGCCAGCTGCTGCGGAGGTATCGCCCGTCGGCCTTCTGCACGGCTTTCCCCAAGCGCGGGCCGAGGGCCCCCAAGAGGAAGCGGCTCCACCAAAGCCACCCGACCTGCAAGAGAGCGGCCTGGGCGGCGGCTCGCAAGAACGCGCTGGTGCAGCTGAACGAGCTGCGGCCCGGTCCGCGGTACGAGGTGGCGTCGAAGACGGGCCCCCCGCACGCCCCGGTGTTCTCCGTGGCCGTCGAGGTCAGCGGCTTCCGCTTCGAGGGCCGAGGGCCCACCAAGAAGCAGGCCAAGATGAGGGCCGCGGAGCTGGCCCTGCGCTCATTCGTCCAGTTCCCCAACGCCTCCCAAGTTCACGCCTCCCCGCCCCGCCCCACCGGCGCTCCCTCGGACTTCACAGTGGACCAGCTGGAGCCCCCCGGCGCTTTCCTCGGGGAGTTCGAGCTGCGCGAGAGCTGCGACCTTCCGCACCGCAACGCGGCGAAGAAAGAGCTGTTCTCCAGCGTTTACGGCCACAGGCGAGTCGTCCGCCTGGCGCTGGACTTCACCTCCAGTCGCCCGAAGAGACGGCCCGCCGGCGCCGCGGTGCCCGAGCGGCTCAGCCCGGTGGCGCTGCTCAGCGAGCTGCGACCGGGGATCAGGTACACGTGCCTGACGGAGAGGGTGCACGGCCGGCCGGCGAGGAGCTTCGTCATGGTGGTCCGGCTGGAGGGGAGGGTGTTCGAAGGGTGTGGTCACAGTAAAAGGTCGGCCAAGGCGCGGGCAGCCGGCGCCGCCCTGCAGTCCGTTTACGGCATCGGTCTGGGACCGGAGAGGAAGGTCACGGGTCTCCAACACCAGCTACCTCAGGTGAGTCTTCTTTTACCACGACATTACGATCTATATATACATATAAATGTATATATATATACATACATTTTGCTCCATTCACTCTCCTTGTGTACTTTTGACATGTTTATTTCTTATTCAGGATTCACTTGAGTCATGGAGAAGCTGTACATACAGTAAAAAACAACGGCCTAGTCGTGTTGTGTGATGATCAACAAATTGAACCTCATGATCGGATAAATTCGATTAACGTTTCCAGCACAAAAAAGGTTCCTTATGGACTTTTCATTGTTATCGTCGATGGACGTCAATGGAATGTGATTAATTTGTCAACCTGCCACGTTACTGGCTGAAACACTCCACATTAAAGAAACCGTTTAGGGTTTTGAGTTCTCAGGAATGTTTCTCCGTCCGTCACACATTGAATGTGTGCGTCACTGGGTCAATATTACAAAATCGTCTTTTGGGCTAATGGTGTAATTTTCCTTAAGGGCAACGTTGACATCTCCACACTGCCTGGACAGATTTTATACGACTTAAATAGACACGACGATAAAACGATTCCGCAGTGTTTTTTGTCTTAGCACAGAGGAGACCGACCCTTTTGTTGAAGCCAAATACGCCTCTTTGTAAACCTCTGTGGTGACACTGAATTCACCCCTTCAACTCTTGGGCCAGTCTTCTAAATGGTTGGATAAATGAGTGTGAAGGCAAATGGAGGATGCCGGCACATCAGCGCGGCCATCATGTCCCGAAGGCCCGAGAGAGCTGGATGGCGTCCTGTACGCACCGTCTGCAGCATCTAAACAACTTCATTATGTCTCCGGGCCTCGCCGACTCGTCCCTTCATATGAATAGAAGGAAATCCGTCTCCCGGGAATCGGCCGCACGGAGCCGAGGGCGGCGACTGAGCGTGGCTAATGCCGAACCGCGCCGTTATCCAAATATGCAAAGGGGAAAAACACAGAGGCAGACATGTAGACGCTTTATTAAACCCTGAAGGCTTTGAGGAGAGAGGAGAGTGCAGGAGGAGAACACATTTCTACACACAATTTGAACAAAAAGCCTGATTTCACCACACATTTCAGGCTGACGCCCCGAAACGCCTTCAATATGAGCTGCCTGGCGGGCGGCGTGACGCATTAAGGAACATTATTACTGCACATTAGGGATGAAGGAGGAGCGGCAGCAGACCGAGGAGATGGAGGTGCAACGGGAAGGCGGTGTGAAGAGCATAATAATCCAAGAGATAATTGTTTAACACACTCATTACACACGACCTTGTGCCACTGTGATCCAGAGGAACGTTGAGCCGCAGAAAGATCGACTCAAGACACTTGAGATACGATATTAAGGATAGTTAGCAATAGAGTATGAGCTTAATGACATGCAGAATTGAACACAACAAACGTTTGCATGGATGTGACGGGTCAGGAGACAACTGGTGGACAATGTGAACTCACAGCACATGTTTCTAGATTCAGTGACTTTGTATTTAGATCCACAGAGGTCAGAATAATAATAAATACATCTTGTGATCAATGAAGGAATAATCGAGGTGAGGAAGTAAAGTGACAAAGAGGGGACTATGTTGGATGTGCACCCTTTCACCCCTGAGTAATATTTCTCCTTCTGCAGTTCTTCGCAGAGTCAATCTTCCAGCTGGTGGAGGAGAAATACTCGGAGCTGAGGCACGGACGCTCCTCCACCTCCCCGTACGCCCGCCACAAAGGCCTGGCAGCGGTCGTAATGACCAGAGGTGAGAGAAAATTATTTGATCTGAATCGAAATGTTCTAATTTGATGTCTCTTTGGTGAAGTGCTTCGCGTACGCCACGATTCCGTCTACTTCCATCTCACTTTGTCTTATTTTGCTTTCATTGATACACCAGCATTTGCACCTGAGCTTCACTTTTCATTTGTATTCATCAACACGGCAGAGGAACGCAGTGCTGGTGAAGATTGAACAACTCTGTAATCTACAACCTTACAACGATCACAGCTTTGGGGTTTATCTGCTCTTGCTCCTCCAGGATTTGACCTGAGGTCGTCGCGGGTGGTGTCTCTGGCCACCGGGACTAAGTGTCGGGACTCGGACGGCGTCGGCGACCGCGAGGGTACGCTCAGCGACTGCCACGCCGAAGTCCTCAGTCGGAGGGCGCTGGTCCGATTCCTGTACGCTCAGCTGGAGCTGCTGCTCTGGTAACCAGCAACAGGCTTTTATTCATTGTCAGGTCTTGTTTTGAGACCCTGACTCTCAAAACAGCCAACTTCATGTGGATTGAAGGGTCATTAGTATCAAACTGATAACTAATTAACAATTGAAAAGAAACAGTTTCAACACAAGGATCGGAAAGGTTCCATCTCCTTGGACTGGGTTTCGTCTCGCTTCCAATCGTCTCATGTTGGACTTCTCCTTGCCTTTTCCTCTCTGAAGTGAGCCGGCAGACTGTGAGGAACAATCCATCTTCGTCTCAAATACAGCCGGTGGCGGCTTCCGGCTGCGGGACGGCGTCTTCTTCCACATGTACGCCAGCTCGTCGCCGTGTGGAGACGCTCGACTCAACTGCCCCCACGAGACCACGGCTGCATGTGAGGCCTTTAGGCATGAATCAAAGTATGCCTGAGCAAATCGGAGAAGCAGCGTTGGTCACCTTCTCTCCTCTCGTGCTAGATCCCAGCAGGAGGTTCCACTGTCACCTCAGGGTGAAGGTGGACGGAGGCGAGGGAACGCTGCCCATCACAGCGCGGGGGGCCAATCAGAACCCTCAACCTCTCGTCACCATGTCCTGCACCGACAAGATCGCAAAGTGAGTCTATAATAGTCTGATATTTAATGGAATGTAATAGGTTTAGTGTTTTTTTAAGGAATTTCAGCTGACGGTTTAATAAAATGTTCATGAGTCATTACTTTTTTAAAGGCTTTTATTTTGGGATGTTTTTCTTCCATAAGATCACCTTTGATGAGTGGACAGACAATGTCTCATTTGCATATTTAAACATAACATAAAAAAACAAAATACAAAACAATTGTCTTTATGTAATTAATTATGTTTGTTCCATGGTAACATGTTGTACCACATATACTGTACATACCTGATTCACCTTTCCTGGTCAATCATTAAGGGATTCAAATCTGTCCGGACAGGTGGAGTGTTGTGGGCCTCCAGGGGGCGCTCCTGTCTCACCTGGTGGAGCCGGTCTACCTGCACAGCCTGACGGTGGGGACCCTCAGCCACACGGGTCACCTGGGCCGGGCCGTGGCCCGCCGCCTCGCTCCCGTCAGGCGCCTCCCGTTCCCGTACCGCCGGCAGAAGCTGCTGCTCGGCTGTACGTCCAACATGGTTCCCACATCTTTAGTAGTTAGATTACAAGCCAATAAACTGCCGATAACACACGCGGCCACGGTGCTTTAATTAGGTGTAGATTCTGTTTTTTGACTGAAGTAACTAAGATACAAATGTATTTGTAAAGGAACTCTCACCCTCCCCCGTTTTTAGTTCAATCATCACCTGTGTCAAAAATCATCGTGATCCGACAAATGACCGGTTTGCCGCAGGGGTGTCAAACTCATTTCAGGGTCGGGCCAGGCACTGCCTCCGCTGCGCGTGGGCCCAAACAACACCCCCGAATTGTTACATTGGACGATAAAGTACAGTCTCTCGTACCTTATTGCTTTAATAAAACGCCCGATAACTGCCGCACACTGATGACACGAAGCTGCTGCGACTGCTCGGACCCAACGTGTGATCAAACTAAGTATCGAGGGTCAGCAGAAGTGTCTCAACAGTTTAACTCCAGGTCAACCGAGGTGATTTGATTCGACAAGCAGAATCACAGTTGTGTCTTTGTCCTTGCGTCCGCGTCTCGAGCAGCCCAGACAGGCGGGGTGTTACAATATGTAACAATGTGAGAGTGAGACGCACAGGAGTCATTAAGGAATGAATACAGTTCATCTTATCTGATCTTTCCTTTCATCTAAAATTGAACGTTGAAACACTCTCTGCAATGCGTGGATAACCATAAAAAAGCTGAACCATTGGGGGTTGGACCGAATTGTCCAAGTGCATTAGGGCCCTGGACCAAATATCATAAAAGAGGGCAAGGAGTTCTTGTGGGGAACATAAAATCGCCTAAACATTTCATGATCATTTACTGCTGGGAACAATCCTGGTGCTGGCTCCACTCTTCGCCAGAGCACCCTGGATTTGTGAACCCATCACCCCGCCC